GATAACTAGGGGAACATGAATAAAAAAAATAATAACAATAAAAACTTTAATAATAATAATAACAGTAGCAATAATAATAAATATAGCTTCGACAACAACAATAATGTTGTTGTTGTTGATGATAACATCAACAACATCAACAACAACATCAACAACAACATCAACAACAACAATAATAATGAAAACAACAAAAGCAACAAAAATTTAGGAAGTGGATGGCATATTTATGCTAGCTGTACTTACCGCAAAAAACAAAACATACCCTCACATCGTCATCATCATCATCGTCGTCGTCTCAACTATCATCATAATCGTCACTCTTTATTCGTTCGTTTGTTCGTTCTTCGTTCGTTCGTTCTTTCGTTCGTTCGTTTGTTCTTCATTCATTCATTGTCAAAAATGTGTTTCTTATCAAGAAATGGTTAGATGGATAATTTTTTTTAATGATATTAATTTTTCAGTTCAATGGATGGCTAGTTTCATGAATGAATGAATGAATGAAGGAATGAATGAATGAATGAAGGAATGAGTGAATAAACGAATGAATGATCGATTGATTGAGTTGTTGATTGATTAGTTGACTTACATGTTCTGCTGTAGTTCGTAGTTCAGTACACTAGAAGAAATTGTATAGAGTTTGAATTTTGGTCACGAAAGATGAAAACAGAGTGAATGAATGAATGAATGGATAAATAAAGAAATGAATGAAGGAATGAATGAATGCATGAATGAATGAATGAATGAATGAACGCAAAACAGCAACAACAAATGATTCACATTGAACGTGTCGAGCAACAATTTGTATACATCTTGCCATACCGCTAGCGTATCTTCATCACCATCATCATCGCCGTCGTCGTCATCATCATCACCACACCCACCACCATCATCACCACCACCGTCATCATCATCAACAGCGTCTTCATCAGCAGTTTATATACTTAAACCATCCATCAATCTATTCATTCTTCTATCTTTTAAATTTATTCATTTATTTTGTCAGAAGTTCTCTTTCCTGCTTTTCAAATATATTCATTCGTTCGTTCATTCGTTCGTTTGTTTTTTCCTCAGTTCTCTCGTTCTTTTGGTCGTTCGTTCATTCATTCGTTCATTCATTCATTCATTCGTTTATTCATTCATTCATTTATTCGTTCGTTCATTCATTCGTTCATTCACTCATTCATTCGTTCATTCACTCATTTACTCATTCATTCATTCATCTGTTTGTTCGTTCAATCAATCAACGCCAAAGTACTTTTTAAAACAATCATTTACTCCATTACATTACTCGAGTGGAAAAAAAAATTTTCACACACCCACTCAAACATAATTTGTTATTATTATTATTATTCTACACACAAACACGCACACACGCACGCACACACACATACTACATGATGAAGAGTAGTATATTTTTCGGGTCGTGATTAGAAATAAAGATGCTTATAATAATAATAATAATAATTATTATTATTATTGTTAGTATTAATCAGAAGTAGTAGATTGTGTAATGTGTATATATAAATTCTTAAATTCTATTTTCTCCTTTTTCTTCTTCTTTTTCTTCTTCTTCTTCTTCCTCTTCTTCCTCCTCTTCTTCCTCCTCTTTTTCTTTTTCTTCTTCTCCTTCCTCTTCTTCTTCTTCTTTTTCTTCTTTTTCATCTTCTTCTTTTTCTTCTTCTTCTTCTTCTTATTAGTATCATTAGAACAATAGTAGTAGTGGTTGCAGCAACAGAAGTAGCAACAGAAGCTGTTGTAGTACTGGTGGCATAAGAAGTTTGAATGTATACATAAAAATTCTATTATCACGGGATATGTACGTGCCATTTTATTGTTTAAAACTCATTAGTATATAGTTAAAGTTCAATTACTGTTGTCGTTGTTGTTGTTATTATTACTATTATTATTTATTATAATTACTATTATTATTTATTATTAGTAGTAGTTGTAGTAGTAGTAGTAGGTAGAAGTAGAAGCAGCAGTAGTAGAAGTAGCAGCAGCAGAAGTGCTATTAGTAGTAGTAGTAGTAGTACTACTACTACTACTATGACTATTACTACTACTAAATTTTTATTTATTTAATAAAATATTCATTCATTTGTTTTAAATAAAATTTTTATCTCAAAATAAATTTATTTCGCCATTTGCACACATAATTTCATTCATTTATTTCATTTTGTTTTCTCAACTTTGATAATTCGATAATGGAATTTTGCCGCTCCTGTCGCTACTACTACTACTACTGCTGCTGCTACTACTGCTACTACTACTGATACTGATACTACTGCTACTGCAGAGCTGCTGCTACTACTACCACTACTACTACTACTGTACATATGTGCAACTGTGTACAAATGTATTATATAATATATATACATTATAATAAAATTTATATATATATATATATATTTACAATATTTTATAAATTCTACCGAATAGAATATAGTAAAGTTCTAGTAAAGTAGTAAAGAACTAAACTAAAGTTCTCACTATAGAATATTGTAAAAATTATGGTCTATTACCAATTCGGTAGAATTTATAGAATATTGTAAAAATTATGGTCTATTACCAACATATATATATATATATATATATATATATATATATATATATATATATATATATATGTTGGTAATAGATATATATATATATATATATATATATATATATATATATGTTGGATATACAC